GATTTCTATTTTTTCCTCAGATTAGGTCAAGTGGTGTGCAGTAATATGAATCTATTTTGGGGTGTATGATGAAATTTGTTTGAAAATATTGCATCATCCATGATTGCACCAGATTTTATCACCCAGAATTGTCTCAACTGTTGATTAGTTGTCCCACAGCCATCTCAGATGAACATTAATACAAGGAAAATATGAAAATTGTAAAATGCACGGATAAAATTTCTATTTCCCTGAGCAAATCAAAGTACTATCAGCCTGGTTTCTGATTTAAATTAATCAAGAATGGGGTCCATCTCAGGGATAAAAGGATGGATGTTTCATTGATTGAATAAAATGTTATTTGTTTTGCAATTTATTGATTAAGGGTGTGTGTGTATATATATATATATATATATATATCTTCCATAAGTGACTAGGAATTTTACACATGATCTGAATTTCTAAGATATAAAACTGCCAGTCTCTATGCAGTGTTGATTTTTCTCCATATTGTTTATATATCAAATGACATACATCTCAGAGATAAAAAGAAATTAAAATAAAAATTTCATTTCCCAATAATAATCACTGGTTTCATTACATGGTCAATAAAAGGATGGAGATTGTTTTATTGCAGTCTTCTTCCATAAATATAGCAAACTTTAAACAATATATAAATATATCAGACATACAGTGTACAATTTTATGAAACTTTGTCAAATTACAATTTTGATATATATATATATGTGTGTGTGTGTGTGCATGATTGTGTAAAAATGCACTAAAATATATCTGTAAAGACAATATAAACAAAAGAAAAGACAAGAAAAACCTTTTATGCCAACATTTTTTTTTCCTTGAGGAATTATATGAAGGCAAATTTAGAAGTTTTATTTGGTAACCTGTATTTATACAGAGAAATAAGGATGGGGAAAATAAAATAAAGTTATTAAATTTTAAATTAAATGATGCTATACACTCAGGTACTCTGGCTGGAGAGCGACTGGCAGACCAAGAAGACGTTGGAGCGACTCAGTGGCAGACACTCTCAGAGCCCACGAGATATCTTCCCCCCCCCCCCCAGGACACTCACCTTACCCCTGACAGACGACTGCGTCTACCCGCGAGTTTATGCAGTCTATAGATTATAGCACCTTTGTGTTGTCGATAAGGATTTCTGATTTTGTGTTGTGGCTTTCCTTTACGTTCGTTAAAGATATGTGTCTAAATGAAGCTATTGTTAAATAAGTGGCATGCTAAATGGTGTGACTATTTGTCGATATTTCACAGATGAGGTATTTTAACTATTTACATTATTTACATTGTAAATATATGGAGAGAAAAGGGTGATCACTTTTCACCGTGAGATGAAGATGAAATGATAGATAGAGAACATCACTGGAAAATACAAAAAATTAATAGAGATCTACAGAAAATTAAACTATAACAGAAATTTGTAATATGAACTCTTCTAAAAAATTTTACAGAGATATTAGCTTTATAAAAATTCACCAACTAATATCCCCAAGGACGCAAGAAGCAGTGGATAAAAGCGTTGGTTGATTTATCCAAAAGTGATTTGATTGAAAGAATTGTGAGTTCAATCCCTAACCACAGCAGAGGAAACCAAAACTTGGTGAGCTGAGTTATCAACTTGCAAGAATCAGTTATCAGTTCGCAACAAATGGTAAGTTTAGTCCGAGAAGGCTCAATGAGTCACTTTTCTAGAGGTTAGCATCAGGCAGGATAATGGCAGGCAGAGAGAAGTCTCTCAGATTGTTAATAGATGAACAGTTTATTCGCAACGGAAGCGATAGAAAAAAAAAAAAACAAGCCATCCTTTGCCCCAGTTAACAAAAAAAGAAGTTCATTTTAGACAACAGCTGCCATTTTGAGTTTATGAAATTGATCAGATTTAATCTCGAGACAGGATTAAATAGTTGGTTCATCAGCATAGATGCTAAATTGAGAGCTGATGCCATCGAGAAGGTCATTAATGAAAATTAAAAACAAAGTAGGACTCTGGCTTGAGTCCTGGCGGACACCTGTATTAGTGCGAAATAATCTAGAAGAGTGGCCGTTCAGGATAACTTTTGTTTCATGATTTGATAAGAAAAACTAAATCAGTAAAAAAAATTAGTCTGTTGACATTGTAACACTTCAGCTTGTGGAGAAGACCTAAATGCGAAACCCTGTCGAAAGCTTTCGAGATGTGTCCAAAGCTACAGCCCAGGCTTCCCTATCCTTATCTAGAGCTTGATACACTCTTTCCACGATTATGTACAACAGCAGTTGACCTGGAGAAACGAAAGCCATATTGCTTGTCTGAAAAAAGGGCCTATGATGTGAGATGCTTAACCAATTCAGCATTGATTATGGGCCTCTAGGAGTTTGCCAAAAATAGATAGATGGTTAATACGCTGATAGTTGGAAGGGTCAGATGGTTTACTAAAGTTCTTAGGAACTGGAACAACAGATGATGACTTCCAGCAGAGGCAAGAAAGGAAGATGACCATTTTTAGGGATATAGTGAAACGAGATAACTATCAATGTGCAATGGGAAAGTTGGCACTCTGAAATGAATTTTCATTTGGATGACCGAAAAGATACAACTATATTTGGGTTGGGAATTTAAAAAGTACTTCCTTTTGCATTCTACTTCCTCTTCCCTTTCTCTTCTTTGGTCTCTATAAAAAGAATTAGAGTCTTTAATCCAATATACAAAACGGACTGCACTAGACATGCCAAAGTTCAATCTCTTTCTCTCTCGCCATATATATATATATATATATATATATATATATATATATATATATATATATATATATATATATATAATATATAATATAAAAGTGAATATAAGTCAACACTTAGAGGTGACAGTCTGTTTCATGCATGAAACAGACTGTCGCCCCTCATGTTCACTTTTATATTTACACATGCTCTATCTCTGAGATTAAGCACTTTATCCCATAAATATAGCACATCTTAAGATTATATTTCTTCATATATATATATATATATATATATATATATATATATATATATATATATATATACGCACACACAATTGCATGCATCAAATTAAAATGCAAATTAAAGTCATAGTCGAGGTGTGGCTGAAGGTAAAAAAATTTAAATAACTACCAATAAAAAAAAAAAAAGAAAAAAGAAAAGTACAATAAAAAAGAAAAAACAAAATACAAACGAAAAAGCTTGTTGTTTATAATGGTTCAATTACTTGTTTCTAAGATTTCAAAAAAGTGTGTTTGATTCTGCACAAAGCCTTCACCACTAAATCAAATCATTTGTGTTGGTGCACAGGCTGTCAGTTCTTAGGAACTTTCCTTGACGCTCATACGACGGGAGAGTCACTATATATATATATATATATATATATATATATATATATATATATATATATATATATATATATATATATATATATATATATATATATATGTTTTGTCTCTCTCTCTCTCTCTCTCTCTATATATATATATATATATATATATATATATATATATATATACAAATAAAGAGAAAGAACAGACGGATTAAGAATCCACATCTGCAAGACACTATGTCTGTGTTAAAAATGAAATAATTAATTTTTTTTCATCCCGTGACCCGTAGGTAGACCATTTGTACTGCAGCCAAAGTATAAGTGAGCAAGATCGTCTGACGAAGTCCAACCCTCTACAGGCTTTTGAATTCGGAGTTTTTCCTTCTCCTAGACTGGTTGTCACCTAAGGCTATAGAACCCAGTCTGTCCTGCTACTTACCCATAGCTGGGGGCGGGGAGAAGAGGATTTATACCTTTCTCAAAGTTATTGGAAGCACATAAGTTAATGTAATGGAATTCGAACTCGGCTCTACAATTCCTCGATCCGAGCCACTATCCATTACTCCATCATAGAAGAGTTTAAATAAAGGAAATGATCCGGAAATAATCCTCTTTCTTTGTAGTTGTTTGTATGCAACAAAGACTTTTTATTGACTTGAGTTACTTATAATATTTTATGCATTTACACAAAGAGTTAAGTAACGAATTTTGTTATCTTTCGGCCAAATGCCATGTACGTACAACTGCAGGGAAATTCTTCATACATACATACTCACATATGCAAGCATACGCGTATATACACACAAACAGTAAGAACATGCACAAGCAAATACAAACGCACACACACACAAATAGGCATCCGTTCCTCTATATGCGTACAGCGAACACAACGCAAGTGGATCGAATGACGTAACACGCTTTAAATTCACGTGCCTTCTGCAAGTGTTTCCAATTCAAGCACATGTTCTGGCTTTTTGATACATTCGCCATAGGATGAAATCTTTTGAATCAATTAAAATCTGAAATACGTAGATCGAAGCTACTATTTGACGCTTTCAAGTCTATTCTAGATCGTCCATTAAATACGTTGTACGTTTTCATCAAAATAATTTGAATTCGAATTAAAGAAACGACAATCATTGCTTTATTTCAATCTTTCTAAAGATCTAACGTGATACCAATGAACAATTTCCTTTAACTATTAATTACATATTAGGGAGACGGGCCTTTACTATATCTACAACATTATAGCAAAAGCTTATGACATTTAAGATCAGTTGTAACTGTAAAATAAATTTTGTGAATGGATATTTCATTTTACTTGAGCAACATTTTTCTTTAAGGAAGTCATCCAAAATAAATCTATTAATCGAGTCAAAATTATACCATCGCCTTTTTTCATTAGTTTATCTTCTTCTGAATTTCTTTCTTTGGTATACCGTCTGAATTTCTTTTAATTCAAAAATCGTTATTTGCTATTTAATTATAAAGAGGAAAAATGAGTGAAACAGGTGGAAATGATTAAATAAATTAAAACTTATATTGATATTCAAACGGCATCTATTTTATATCAAGATATTTCTCAATGGTACAGTCTAAGATTCGATTCCTTTCTAAATGAGATTCTGTAAGGCGTGACTAAAAGATTAACACAAAACACTTCCACATAAAATAGTTTTTTGCATCTATCTATCTATCTATCTATCTATCTATCTATCTATCTATCTATCTATCTATCTCATTCTGCACATATCTATGTATGTATGTATGTATGTATGTATGTATGTATCTATCTATCTATCTATCTATCTATCCAGTTAACATATCTTATGAACAACCACGTACGCATGTAATTATTTTCGATATTTCATGCATAATTTGACCCAGTGCAGGATCAAATTGAAAGATTTTTGCGTCATTTTCATACTTGAGAAGTCCTGTGTGTTTTGAGAAATAAACCTTTTCTTTGTGCTCGACCTTTTGGAAATACGTAATTAACTACAGAGACTTGGTATATTCTGAAACAAAGTTTAACAAATAATGCCGCTAATGATAGGAACTTACCTGGGGTGGGATTAGCTTTGGACTGAATTATCTTTTCTTAAAATTCTCATATTACTATGAGCCTATAACACTTACCACTTTACAAAAAAAAAAAAATGTTTACGGAGATGTTTGACACTTGCCTGAAAAATGTGAAATTAAACCATATGGACACACAGTGAAACGTATGTCGAGTTTCTTCCTCACTTTTCTCGACGTTGAAAGTCGTCAGGTGATTTTAAAGAAAGAAATTTCATCCTATCTTTGACCAAAACGATTTTAAATAAGCAAATGAAATCAATGATGACGTCAAACAAGGCACTTTCCTCGGTCTTAACCTCTTCCTGCTTTCTATCAATGATCTGCCTAATTGCATTCTCAGATGTTTAGTAAATATATATGTAGATGTTAGCACAGTGTATGGGCGCATCTCCAAATACCTTGATGACCAGTGCCTTGCAGCTTATCTTTTACCTGGCACAGGAGTTTACCATTGCCAATGAAGGTTTACTGAGGCGAGGTTAACGCTGTCCTAGGCTGTAAGTAGAGTTATGTTTCTCTTCATTTTAGATGAGAGACGTTGCTCAGCGATGGGGATTCCAAACCTGCGGCAGCACCTTCCTTAATTCAGTAAATAGTTTGGGTCAGTGTAATCTATCTATCTATCTATCTATCTATCTATCTATCTATCTATCTATCTATCTCATTCTGTTCATATCTATCTATCTATCTATCTATCTATCTATCTATCTATCTATGTTCATATCTATCTATTTATCTATCGTAGTCTGTTCATATCTATCTATCTATCTATCTATCTATCTATCTATCTATCTATCTATCTCATCCTGCACATCATCTCAGTCTGTTTTTACCGACTTACCTACCTATCTACCTATCTATCACTGTCGATTAGACACCGAATTACCGCCGTTCAGGATGAACGTATGTCTCCTCGAGGACCCCCCTGCCTCGAGAAGATACTGGGCCTCAAACTCACATACGACCTCAAGTGGAATTCCTATATACGATCTATCGCTAAAGATGCAGGTGAAATGATCGGCTCCCTGTACCGCTCCAGTAAGTACCTGAATCCTCATGCTATTCTTTACCTTTATAAGAATCAGATCAGCCCGAAAATGGAGTACTGTTGCCATATTTGGGCGGGAGCTGCCCAGATCTCACTTTCCAGTTTTGATAGTTCAAAAGCGACTCCAAATCCTTGTGGGAGGAGAATTATTTTCCACCTTCGAACCTCTCTCTCACAGGCGGAATGTGGTGAGTCTCTCACTGCTCTTTCGCTACTACTATGGAAAATGCTCGGTTGAATTTCATCTCTGGGTTCTACCATGTCTCTGACCTTCCCGGCTACGACCTGTCATACCACTTACATAGTTATAAACCACTCACATTTCCTTTGTGTTCCATCGTCGAGAAGTAAATTCCACTGGAACAGCATCTTCCCACGAATCACTGACTACGGGAACAGACTCTTGAAAGGATGTTTCCTCGGTCACTATAATATTAACCTTTTCAAGTCTAGAGTCAACCGTTATCTTCTCCTCATACGTATATAAACTACACCTTATCTTAACCCTCTATCTGGTGTGTCTCCCGGGGCATTTTACAGGGTGAATCTTATTGTAATATCTATCTATCTATCTATCTATCTATCTATCTATCTATCTATCTATCTATCTATCTATCTGCATATATTAGAAAGAAGAGAGAAACCGCAAACATTTTTGGTTGTAATGTGGATTTTTTTAAAAAGAAAATATATTATGCTTTATTTTCCATAATTTTGCTACGCGTCTTTCCGATCTCGCGACCTTCATCAGGCAAAGAGTGGATATTTCCACATATTATTAAAAGGAATTTATTTTTCTCATGTTTTTCGATGTTGAACATTCTCTATTTTGTGTGTTAGTGACACAAAAAGAGAATGTTTTACATCGAAAACATAAGAAAAATTAATCCCTTTTAATAATATGTGGAAATATCCACTTTTGCCTGATGAAGGTCGCGAGATCGGAAACACCTATAGAAAAATTATGGAAAATAAAGCATAATAAATTTCTTTTTATAAATCCGCATTACAACCAAAAACGTTTGCGGTTTAGCTCTTCTTTTTAATATACACACTTTTCTCACGTTGGAACTGCTATAACCTTCCCTTTATATATATATATAGTCTATATATATATATATATATATATATATATATATATATATATATATATATATATATATATATATATATATATATATATATATATATATATATATATATATATATATATATATACACAGTCCTATGGTTACAGAGAACTCAGTAGAGTTCCGCCACGGAATATGTGAGCGAGCGGCGTAAGTTGTGTCTGATTTGGAATCTCTTCGTTATCGATGCCCATTTGGTACAGTTGGTATGTTGTTCGCTTGACAACCCAACTGTCAGGGTTTCGATACTTGGTGGATGCGCACTGCTGATGAGTCCCAATTATAGGACGAAACGGCCGTCCAGTGTTTCCTCTATTCCTGTTGAGGTTTCTATCAGACTCAATTAATTAATTATATATATGTATATATATAACGATATATGATTTTGTATAAATTTATAAATTAACAAACAGTATTTAGCAAAATAGCATGACAAATTGGAAAAAAATTGTGACGCGTTTCATCAATTAGGATTTCATCGGAATGGGTTTTGTTGATGTTGCCACGTCTACACATGCACACGAAACAAGAGATGCTGGTAGTTTCAAAATTTTTAAAAGAATTTTTGAATGTGGCCAAATTAACCTGTATTCATATGTTACACCAACTTGAAAACAGCCTAGAATAATAATAAAACTTGACTTAATAAACTTCTACTCCCATCATAATAACAAAATAAATACCGGAATGATCATTTGATTCTATTTAAGAGCACACAGAATTTGCAGCCCTCAATATATATATACATATATATATATATATATATATATATATATATATATATATATATATATATATATATATATAATTTATATATCAACAAACGATATTTAGAAAAATAGTATGACAATGTTGAAAATTGTACCTACACTTATATAAACCCTTATATAAACTACGAAATTCTAGTATTCGGTTTATTTTGAGACAAATTATTTTAATTATATAATGTTAAAAATAATAAACGTTTTATGTTTAATAATTTTAGTAATTTTTTTCTAATATACAAATAAACTTAATGTTAATGTGGGTGGGGATAATCTGCTCATAATTCATGTTATCCAGAAATTTTGGCCATATTATACATACACAAAAAACACATTTGCGAAAGGATATTTTTTACGTTGGGAAAAAGATTATTAAATATTATAGACATACATTCGCTGTTGCTTTTAACAATATATGGTTAAAATCTATAAAAATATTTGATACACTACTACACAGGGCTTTTTGCACATAGACAGCAGCCACTATCATATATATATATATATATATATATATATATATATATATATATATATATATTAGCTTGTCCCACAAATACATACATATGCGCTATGCGCACAGACACGCACATGTATGTACTGAAGAACACGTGTTCAAGAATATTTGTAGATACATACACTCTCACTCACCCAGGCAACAACAATAACCAAAGCATGTGATGAAACACACACACACACACACACACACACACACACACACACACACACACACACACACACACACACACACACGCCGCGCTCATATATTCGCATAACAAATGCGCCCATCTCCCACCTCAGTTTGTTCGCTAGCGCGCATGCGCGTTTCGAGTGTCGGATCATTCATAAAAACGATTCGGAATTTTCCATGTCTGAGGAATCTGTCTGGTGGGAGGCGTGGGACAGTTGTGGAAGATTTTCAACTCCACCATCGTCATGTACGACGGCACCCATCTCTAAAACTTCTACCTCCATTTTTTCCATTACTCCTGTAGTGCTCTGTCAGTCTTCTATAGAACTACCCTCCCTTTTTCTCTAGCACCGTCTCTAACCTTCCCTCCCGTCTTTCCTTTTTTTGCAACTGTCATCCTCCCTTTTCATTATCAACTCCCACCGCCACTTTATCGTGCCCTCTCCATAATCATATCTTTGCTCCTCTTCCCTCTACACTCTGGCTTTTATCGATCCGTGTTTTCTTTTCAACAGACGCACTTGCTTTCTCGACTTGTCCTTCCTCTTTTTCCTCCTTCGATTGCTGCTTCACTTCTTTTGGCTGCTGCTGTTACTGCTGCTGTTATTGCTGCTGCTGCTTCCATCTTTCCGTTTGCAGCCACCACCACCACCACCACTACAACTACTGCAACTCGTAGAGATGTCACAATGGTAAAGGGTATCTGAGTCGCAATTATAAATAAGGCGTCCCTAAGAGGGGAGTCGGTTGCCAGCCTTTTATTTGCAGGGGTAAAAAAAAGCAAAAAAAAAACCCAATCAACTATTTCTTGAAAATAGGCAGAAGTAAAATATTCCATTCGCTAAGACTGAAAAATACATAATTTCTTTATTTTAACATTTTTGTGTTTCACTTGGTATTTTTGAACGAAATCTTTAAATTCCACGGATTTAGAATTCTGCTCCCTATCCAAGAGGAGATAACTTGTATTAGTATATTATTTTATCTCTTTGCTTTGTGATGGTGCTTCAGTCCGTCCCACTGAATTAGAAGCATAGCGAATATACCGTGAGTTTTACGATCATTTTTTTTATGATCACGCAAAAACATCGGGTGGGTTCGTACTATACACAGGTAAGTTTTTGAAAAGGTTTCACTATACACAGGTAAATGTTTCTGGAGGGAGTTAAAATTGATGTAAAATAAATCAGGAGAACACTATCTATGAAATCGACTTATACACGGTATATAGTTTTCACTACCTGATCAAGAGATTGAACATAAGACTAGCAAGTAAACAGCAACAATGCAACAATTAAATAACGGGATTTCGAGAACGTCATTGAAAACGACCAATAGCTGAATAAATTGCATCTCTGTTTCATGAGAATATATATTACGCCAAAAATTAATCAATCGCTCAGATTGATTTTTCTTTGGTTTGAACCGCTGGACTTTACCAGCAAATATTTGTCATGTTTCTGTCTATATTTCAGAGATGAGGTATTATGTACGCTATTTACATTATTCGGATTATTGTCCTCATCTTTGTCGTCATAATTATTACAACGTTGTACTCTCGGGTCTTCTTCAGGTGGTTGGAATTGTCGAACTGAACCCTTTATTTCGCTCACTGGAGCAGACTGTTCTAGTTCCACGTGCCATGTCTAATGGATGTCAGTTATTTCCTGTTAATTCCCCTCTCCAAGTTCTCCATCGACTTAACCGGGTATTGAACTCACACTCTTTGGTTCCTGTCACTGGATATAACCAACGCCTTTATCCACTGTGCCATGTGTCCTCGAGCGACACGTGTCAGATTTCTGCTCAATATTGATATCTTTCAACATTTTGTTCCTCTCCTGGCAATCAGATTTAAACCTTAACCCTTTTAGCCCCTACGTTCCTGAACTATTTTAACCCTTCTGCCTGAGTCATAATTCGCAAATAATTGGCATGTAATGTTTCACGGTAGATATGAAAATAGTTATAAGTGTTTACCTATCGTTCATCCCGTGGCTCGGCATTAAATCATTTTTCTCTCCCACTGTTCAATCGTTCGCTGGGCATTACGTCATTTTTCTCTATCATCAGTAAATCGGTTGTCAAGGCTTAAAGGATTAAACGATGCCAAAAGTTTGCACAAGAAACGGGCAAAAATGAGAAAAAATACCTTTTTGCTAAAGTGGAGTTCATATGCTTATTTTTTTTATATATATATATATATATATATATATATATAAAATATTTGAATCCCCTTAAATTCTAAAAATAAAGAAAAAATGGTATTAAAATAAATGTTAGGTTTCTAAATTTCATTTTCTTTATCAATATCATATACTATGCAATATTTCATTCACAATCGAGTTGTGTATTTGTTTCCACAAGTTGTCACCGTTGTTCACCTCTTTTCTCTTCGAGAAATCTGCATGTAGTCATAGTACTGTATTTGATTTGTTCTTCCAGCCTCATTTGCAGGAAATAATGTAATCTCACGAATCCTATTAAGTTCACCTATCGCCCGGTTCATACTCCTTCCCAGTGCTTTGAACAGAAGTAGAAGTTGATCCCTTTTTTTTTCCTTTTTAAGATTGGGTTTCCGGGTTTCCTTCTGAAGTTGACTTTCGCCTCTAAGGTCTCCCGCTTAAACTTCGACATTTTATTTTGGAATTCTATTTTTTCTTCAATAGTAGTAGAGATATGTTTATCTGTTGTCCGGAGGTTTATCGAGGTTTATATCTTGCTTCCTGTTTAGAATGGGATTTCCGGTTCCTTCTAAAGCCTTTTCTTTCTCTTTCACTTCCAGTTGCCACTTGCGTCTTAGTAGCATTATCGCCTTGCTTGGAATGAATTGATTAAAATGAAAAGATGGAGTAAAGGAGTTATACTATAAAAAGGTTTCTGGTTCCTTCTAAAGTCTTTTCCTTCTCTTTCACTTCCAGTAGGCCCCCTCCCGCCTTCCGTCTTAGTGGCATTATCACCTTACTTGGGCTTGAATCTATTAAAAACAGTAAGGTCATGAATCATAAAATTGCCAATTTGTCATTTTAACTCGAATTCTGAATTATTGACGAAAAAAAAAGTTTAAATCATCAATTTATTTATTATATTTATTTATTTATTTATTATATTTATTTATTATATTTGCTAACCTCTAATGAAACATCAATCGTTGATACCCCACCGTTTAAGGGTTAAACATTATTGATTATTGGCAAATCTGTTTTGATATTTCCTATTTTAATACGGCTTATTCATATTTCCTAAAGATATTAGTGCGAATGTATTATTCACTTTCACACTATTGCTCTTGGAAAGGCATGAATCCATATTTTTCCCAAACGTATGGATTAATAGTTGAGTATCCAGACTAGGAAAAGGACACCTTTAAATCAAAAACCTCAGAGAAAGTAAACGATTCTATTATCTTTAAGATGTCAGGGTAATTTACAAAGGATTCTGGGAAGAGTCAGGATTGCTTACATCCTGCAGAGACATTAAAAGAAAAGAAAAATATTGATTAAAAGTTGTTGAATTTGCAATAAATATTTTCACGAAATATTTGAATATCGTTACTACTACAAACATACTTCTACTTTCGTACTAGATCTTAATATCAATGCTACTTGTAGAATTAAGAAATCTACTATTACATGCGTTAGTAACAAACTGTTAACACACAGATTTTAATGTAATACTTTTTAATCTTTATTTTCTGTTCTTGTTCCTATTAAAGTTATTTAGAAACTTTCCAATGGCATGTAATTAGCTAGTGAAGATAACAGTTTAACAGCAAAAGTTCAAATACACCTCTAAATAAATTGAATACGTCAATAGTCAACAGTCATAAAAACCTAAATAAAAAACAAACAAAACAAACCTATATAATGATCTGAGTTTTCTTTGTGGATATATTTTTGTTACAATAATACAGCAAAAACCGTACATAGTAGTGCAATATGTGCTAGCGCAATGCAATTTAAATGCGTAATTTAAAGAATAAAGCAATTTCCAGTCCAATTTGCAAAGTAATAACAATACTGTAAAATCTTCGATCGTGGTCGTTCCGCTATTAAAGATCTGATATATTGCATATATGCTTTGTTACAAAACTGAAAAATAAATCATGCAAACTTTCAAAGAAGAAAATTATTAAAACGATTACTGATTGTTGTGTAAGATAATGATGTCTTTATTTTGTAAAAAGATATTTTTATATAGAAGTATTTTTTTTATAAAATAAATGTATTACTATTTCATGGCTATCATCATTTTAAGTTAAAATAAATTAATCTTTTCCATTCTTCTTATTTATCTTCCATTTGAACATTTCCACATTTTCTGTTAGAATTTCTAGGACCAGATGTTATCATTATTTACAATCAGAATAATGTCCCCATTTTTTTTTTTTACTATTCTATCTGAATTTATATTTCCTTATTTTGAAGATTTACATATGTTTAAGAATGTTATCAGTGAATTTCAGGCAATCGAAACAGTTCAATAGGTCAAAAATTTTGGTAGTCATTCATTACATATATATAGTCTAAAAAAACATAATTTATATTTTGTTTTCATTTTTTAAATATATCATGACAAAATGCTATTATTGTGAACTTCTTTTCAACATTGTTTACTCCTGAGCTGTGATCTAAATGCTAAGGCGGTTACCACTTTCAGGACAGAAAATAGTTTTATTTGAACAACTGAGAAACATAGGTTCGACTATCATCCGGTTCATACTCCTCTTTGGTCTTTTGAACGGGATTAGAGTTCTATCCTTTGTTTTCTGTTTGGAATTTGCTTTCTGGATACTTGTAAAGTTTACTTCAACTCTATACATCTAACGTGTCTGCTTAAAATTCTGAATTTTTTTTTTTTTTTACTATTGAATTACTTTTTCTTTTCTTAATAGTAGTAGATAGATTCACCTATCATCCAGTTTACAGTTCTCACCGGTCTTTTCCCCCTTGTTTTCTTTTTAGGATTGCGTTTCTGGTTCCTTCTAAATGCTTCTCCTTATGTAACCCTCTACCTCGAGTTGCTCTTGGGCCTTGTACGGGCGAATATCATTGTAAAAATGAATATAATTACAAAATTGATTATCTTAAAAATTCTCAAAATACAAGACTGGAAATGATTAATGAAAATGCCATATTTTAAAATTTTATATTTTTAAAACTATGATCATTAAGAAGAATTCCATGCAAAATATTATCCTCATCTTTGTTATTATGATGACAATGTTTCGGTCGTTGGGTCATAAGGTATTCAGATACATCAGGGAATATCGAACAAAACTCGTATTTTAAATTTAATCTACATTTCTCTGTAAATTTGATGACAGTAATTTTGAGTTCAATCCCTGTGCCGGGTAGGGTGTACTTTTACTCCTTTGAAACAGCGTCAGCAGTAATTGAGCAGTACCCCAAATTTGACCTGGACGAAATATCCCTAGACGTGGTCAGCGGAACGAGAAGAATTTAACCCTGTAGATTAAATAAAAAAGGGTCCAGTTCGAAATTCCCTGAAGGTATCCGGATCGACATGCACCTGATGAAGGCCTGTGGGTAGAAAGATCGATTAGTTGGGATAAAAATGAAGATAATATTCCGCATGTAAATGGTTTCCAGACTATGTCTGAAAAAATAATTTTCTAAATTATCAGCCCAAATGATTTAACACAAGACTGCAGTGGATTAGTGATCGGTATTAAAAGAAAAGCTAA